TGGGATTACAAGAGTATGCTAATGTGCCTGGCTAGAAACAAAAGATTTAATATTAAATTTCCTGCCAGTGGTTCTGCCACAGTCTACATAAAAATTAATTAATGGCAATTGCATCTCATGTATTTTATCTGTACCTTTAGGAAAAAAAATACAGAAATCAATCCTCATCATCTCAGACTCATGAAAGCATTTGGCCTTGTCCACCAATCCTTGCTCTTCCAGGTATCACACTGTGGGCTAACTCTTGGTCTCTAGGACTCCTGTTGGCTGCCTCCATCTCCATGGCTCTTCTTGACTGATGGTTCTCTTGAACCCATGCTCTTCCAAACTGATGCACATACTGACATGACTTTGGGCTCTGTCTGCTCTTTATCAGACACTTCCCGGGTAACCCCCAGCCTACAAGTCCTAACTACCGCCCATTTGCTGATGACAACCACATTTCTATCTGGGAGCCTAGATCATTAAACAGATTTTAACATTTATATACCAAACGTCCTACTCACCAAACCTCTTGGACCTCACAGGCCTATCATAATGAGAGTGGCTGAAAACAGAAGTCTTTATTCACCATCCCTCTACCTCATTCCTGCCCTCAGAATCTCAGGCAAATGTGAACATTCATCTAGAGCAGCTTCTGGCTTCCACCTTCTCTACCAGGAAATTCCTCACCTCCCTTACCTGGGCTCTGGCCACATTAATCCAATATCATCTCTCTACTGGTTAAGCTTCCTGTTTCAGGAGCAGACCCTGGACTTGCCCATCTTTTGACATCACTTCATACCCAAAGCCTCCTGCTTCCTATAGTTCTGCTCCCTACTTTCATGACTGTAAGGAGAACTGTGGGGGAGGTGGCACCCTGATACTCATCCTTGATCATGACTTAGTTGTCCTTTCTGCTGAGTATAGAATACCTCGAGATGAGACATTGATAATAGCAGCTTTCACACCAGTGCTGGACTTGAATGAAGGTCAACAGATAGCATAGTCAGACTCTGACCAAGTCAGGAAAATATAATTAATCTTACTACATGTTTTCATTACCAAACAATAAATAAAACAACTATTCTTATCATATATTTAGAATTTTATCCATCTCTTGATCTCTACAGAGATGGCATAAAGATGGTAAAAACATCATGATAAAAAAAACTCATGATCAAAACTGTCACACCAAAAGACAGCATTCTTATAAGGCAAGATAGTAAATAAATATATGAGTTTCATAAAACTAGTTAGGAAAAACTACCTTTTGATAAAATTTCAAAAATTCAAAATGTAGGAGAATTAAAAAAAGCACAAACCTTTTTAATAAAACAGACCTGCCCTGAAATCACCATTGCCAATTGTTAGAGATCAGCTGTGATTTTTAAAAGTACTACATATTTTTTAAAATAAAACTAAACATAGGTGGTAACTCTAGGCAAATACACTAGGAGCCAGTGTTAAGAATATTGGGCGGGGCTGGGGATGTGGCTCAAGCGGTAGCGCGCTTGCCTGGCATGTGTGCGGCCCGGGTTCGATCCTCAGCACCACATACAAATAAAGATGTTGTGTCCACCGATAACTAAAAAATAAATATTAAAAAAAAAAAAAGAATATTGGGCGGGGCTGGGGATGTGGCTCAAGCGGTAGCGCCTCGCCTGGCACGCGTGCGGCCCAGGTTCCATCCTCAGCACCACGTACAAACAATGTCCGCTGAAAACTAAAAAAATAAATATTAAAAATTCTCTCTCTCTCTCTCTCTCTTTAAAAAAAAAGAATGTTGGGCTCTATCTAAGAAATAAGGCGGAAATCTGCCTTTTAGTGGTTGATAAACAGTCTAGAAGTAATTTGTTTTCTTTTTTAAAAGTTTTTGATTAATTAATTAATTAATTATAATTAGGTATATAAGACAGCAGAATGCATTTTGATTCACTGTACATAATTGCAGCACAACTTTTCATTTTTCTGGTTGTACATGATGTAGCATCGTACCATGTGTGCAGTCATACACATACCTAGGGTAATGATGTCCATCTCATTCCACCATTTTTCCTGCTCCCATGACCCTTTCCCACCCACACTACCTTTTGCCCCATCAAAGTTACTCTATTTTTCCTATGCCCCCCACCGATTATGGATCAGCATTCACTTATCAGAGAGAGCATTCAGGCTTTGGTTTTTGGGGACTGGCTTAATTCACTTAGCATGATATTCTTCAGCTTCATCCATTTACCAGAAAATGTCATAATTTTATTCTGTTTTAAGGCTGAGTAATATTCCATTGTGTATATGTACCATAGTTTCTTTATCTATTCATCTGTTGAAGGGCATCTAAGTTGCCTCCACAGTTTAGCTAGTGTGAATTGAGCTGCTATAAACATTGATGTGTCTGTGTTACTATAGTATGCTGATTTTAAGTCCTCTGGTATAGACTGAGGACTGGGATAACTGGGTCAAATGGTGGTTCCATTCCAAGTTTTCTAAGGAATCTCCATACTGCTTTCCAGATTGGTTACACCAATTTGCAGTCCCACTAGCAATGTATGAGTGTGTCTTTCCCCCCACATCCTCGCCAGTATTTATTGTTGTCTGTATTCTTGATATCTGCTGTTCTGACTGCCATGAGATGAAATCTTAGAGTAATTTTGATTTATATTTCTCTAATTACTAGGTATAAGAAAGCAAATACAAGCAATCATTGATCACACAAAGAAATAAGGGAGCAAATACAGGTAGCAAAAGATTGCTTCAAGAAAGAGATAGAGATTCTGAAATAAAATCCAATCAGAAATATTTTAAATGAAGGAAACAATAAACCAAACAAAAAACTCAGTAGAAAGCATCACCAACAGACTAGATCACTTGGAAGACAGAAGGTCAGATAATGAAGACAAAGTATACAATTTGGAAAATAAAGTTGATAACACGGTGAAGATGGCTAAGAAACCATGAAAGAACATGCAAGAATTATAGGATAGCATCAAAAGACTAAATGTAAGAATTATTGGGATAAAAGAAAGCACAGAGATTCAAACCAATGGAATGCACAATCTCTTCAATGAAATAATATCAGAAAATTTCCAAAACATTGGGCTGGAGCTGTGGCTCAGTGGCAGAAAACTTGCCTAACATGTGTAAGGCACTGGGTTCAATTCTTAACACTGCATACAAAAATAAATAAAAGAAAGACATGCTGTTCACCTACAACTACAAAAAAGAAAAAGAAAGAAAATTTCCCAGCCATGAAGAATGAATTGGAAAATCAAATACCAGAGGCTTATAGGACACGGAATGTACAAAATTACAACAGATCTACACTAAGTCACATTATAATGAAAATGCCTAGCATACAAATTAAGGATAGAATGTTAAAGGCCACAGGAAAGAGGAATCAGATCACACATAGAGAGAGACAGACCAATTTGTATCTCAGCAGATTTTTCAACCTAGACCCTCGAGGCCAGGAGATCCTGGAACAACATATACCCTCTGGAAGAAAATGGATGCCAACCAAGAATATCCAGCACAATTAAGCTTCAGATTTGATGATGAAATAAAAAACCTTTCATGATTTGTTTTCTTAATGTAAACACACTCTAAGTGACTTTTCATCCTTCTAATTATAGCCAGATGGAGGAAAAGATTTTGGAATTGTGGGATTTGCTATTTCAGAAATAAGCACATGCAAAAATAAGAACATTAAGGCATTCCAGTCATTTACCCTAAAGATAAATAAGCTGCTTTGGCTGAGGGTAGAGGGTATTTACCATCAGGGATGTTGCCTAGAAGGCTACATGGTATAGGGCCTACTTTAAACTACTGTTGTTATTGTTTCTGCAAAAGGATGGTCAGTTGGAATTTTCAGGTATAGCAAAATAGACACCAAAATCCAAAGTGGGGAGTGAAATCAGGACTTACAAATTCACAAATATATACATACAGTCCTGCATGGCACCACAATGGTCAACAATGAACCATTATACACCAGTAGTCCCATAAGATTGCATCCCCTGCTAACAGTAACCTCATAACCATGAGTGCATTGTACAATTTTCCCAAGACAGCTAAACTGGCTAACAGTGCACATCCCAGAAAGCACCCTTGCTGTTCAGGAACACATGGCTGTATTTAAATCCATTACCCTTACAGAGGTGTAAAACATCTAGAGATTATTTGGATAAGTTGTTGGCATGTTGTGACTCTCACATACCCTTCTCTACAGGGAAGGGTGTGTGTGCAGGCTTCTCAGAGAAAAGGGCTTTCACAGAACCACCCAGAGAGCTTTGCATGGCCCCTTAGAGCTTTAGGTTGAGATTGTGTCTGCATCGTACATGAGCAATCTAATGGTAAGAGGAAAGCTAAAGAGCTTTGCAGCCTAGGATGGACAGGAAATTTGGGAAGAAACTGCTCTACCCAAATCAGGTGGGGCAGAAGACAACTGAGTATTCTCCCAGGGACTTGATGAGTTTCAGAAGAGAGAGAGGCAGACTGGGCTCATTAGATCTTTCCCAAGACCAGCACAGGCCATCAGATGGCATTTTAGAACTTCTGTTTGATGGTTATGGGAAACAGGGAATTTTACTTCCTGAATGTGAAGGAGTCTTCTTAGACTCTGGATTTCCAATGTGAAATCGACAGAAAGAGGAAAATAAAGCAGGAAGACCAACAGGAAAATGGAGCATGAAATCCACCCCTGATCTGGACTTTTTGGTTATGTTAGTCAATTGACCATTGCACTGCCAAGCTACTTTGACTAAGTTTTCTGGTGACACTTCATTTTTTGATTCTTTTCAAATGATCTGGGAGAAAAATCTGCATTTTAAACTTGTCCTAAGCTAAAATGATCCAAAATCAGGCAAATGCAAAACAGTCTGGATAACAACTTCAGCAGGTTCTTCTTAGGGTGAACTCTATCCCTGGAGAAGATGTGGCCTCTAAATCAAAATGAGACATAAATTGAAAATGGACTTCTTTGGCTGGAAGGTAAGAAACAAGGACAGTCAATCATGTGTTACCTGGTAATGAACTCTCTGGGAATCAGAAGAAACTGACTGCAAGTCCTAATGAGAAAGTGGGAGAAAAAAAATCCATACCTTAAAATTAGTTTGAACAAGCTGCTCCATAATTCTATCAACTGAAACTCCCAATTTAATGTGAAAACGCTCATCTGGAAAGCATCTAGCCCACTCATATTCATCAAAGTTAAACAAGGAAGGGAATGGCAGAAATAATAAAAACATACCAACTTGGATAGAGAGAAAACAGGTCATTTGTCTACTGAAACTTATAATTCCTAATGTTTAGAGTTAAGCAACATATTATAATTTCAAGGATAGAGAAGACCACAGTAAAGAACAGGCAAACTTATTGTAATAAATGGGGATCATGTTTCATTAGCATTTGAATTTTTTGGTTTTAAAAGAAATCTTCTGAGGCTGGGCATATAGCTCTGTGGGAGAGCACTTGCGTAGCATGGCAGAGGCCTTGGGTTCAATGCCCAGTCCCTCTGTCTCTGTGTCTCTGTGTCTCTCTCTCCCTCCCTGTCTCCATGCACCCTCCATGCATCCATCCTCTCTCTCTCTCTCTCTCTCTCTCTCTCTCTCTCTCTCTCTCTCTCTCACACACACACACACACACACACACACAGAGAGAGAGAAGGCTCTTCTGGAGTCCTTTTATACACAAAGAATTTCTTTCTCTTACATTAAATACATGATGGTAGTTGTGTATATATTGATAAATTGCCTGATAAACTGGGTTTTTGTAAACCTCAAAGAGAAAATCACTGACCACCTTCACATTATCACAGAGTGCATATTAGCAGGGTTGCAATGGAGGTTTTACTGGCAGATTCTGAAAGCCTGCTTCCCTGCATAAAATTTTGTAACTAAGTTGTCACCACTAGTTAAGTGCTTTCAACTTAAAGATATTTTAAACACTGTATATCTGCTTTCTGACATTTACATGTGTGCAGTGTGTTATGTTGGACAGAGTTGTTCATCTAGGAGTATCTATCAGAATCATGCAACTGCTAAGAATACAAATCTCTTAGACCCACCTGAAAAAGTGACTCTAATGAGTATCTTTTACCAAGAAACAATGATAAAGAAATGGCTGTTTATGTTTCTGCTTTTTGCAGAATGGAGACAGTTTACACACCCCTCCTCAAAAGTTTTTAAGAACAACCAGGAAAAATTATAATGATAAGTGTGGGTGTTGTGCTATTCAAATAAATGGGACTGTCATATAGAAAATCTTTTTCTTTTTGTTTCTCCATGGCAAGACCAGATTGAGGGAGAAAAATTATAATAATACATAGATTATTCCTTTGTGCTTTGACAAAACTTCATGAATTATACAAGGTTTTTTTTTTTCCTGCAGAAGTTTTATTTTTTAAATCACAGTCCCTGACAAAAGTCTATATTAGATACAAAACATTAAATAACCCCAAATCTGTTTTTTTTATTACTTATCAGTGCCACCTGAAATCCTTTAAAGCTAAAAAATACAGGTATGTAGCTTGGCAAGAAGACAGAAGTTCCAAGCCACAAGCTGTGGAATGCACTAGAGAAACAGGACCCTGAGGCACCTGACCAATCCTTTCCCATTTTAACCACCAGAGGAGGGAGACAGCCATGGGGTAGGGAGGAAGACACTTAGTATAGACTTAAGGGACAAGTCTACCACATTCCCAATTCCTCCCCAAATGTGCCACTTAAGAAGCACTGGTAGTCAGTTATGGAAATGGAAAGCTAAGGAGAATAAATAATTGGCTAAATAAACTCACCTCCTGTAGGCGGTCTATGTACATACGGCAAGTCTCCAGATCACAGTCTCCACGCACAACTAGAATACCCAGAGGAATGGCTGAGAGTGAAGGAAAAAGAAAAATCTAAAATAACATATTTGATTTTTCTAGATTGGCACATATGTGTTTCTCATGGTTAAAAAATAATCTCATAAATATTATGGGATTTTTGGATATGTCCATACAGAGAAATAATCACCCTGTTCCTATACCTCTCTTTTGATTTTGGACTCTTTTTGCCTGCAATTATCATACACTGTCCTTGAATGGTCCATGTTGTCCCTTGCCTTCATCTGGCATTCATCTCACTTTATCTCAGTGGCTCTGGTTTGAAGTGTAACATCACAGTATCAATGAATAGACGGGCAGAACACAGAGGCTGCTCACAGATAGCTGATAATATATGCGTGCATTTGCAATAGGCAGCCTGAGGACACAGCCCTCAGAGGAAATTCACGATTCTGGACACTTACCCTTTCCCCTCCTGAATGCACATGGTTTAAAGTTTCTGTTGGTTTACAACAGTTTTCTAACTATGAGCCTTAAGCCATTCAAGGTATTGTTGCTACCTGGTGGCCAACAACAGAAATAAAGACATAAAAAAGAAGGAGGAAGAGGAGGAAGAAAAGGAAAAGAAGAAGAAAGCTTTTAGAAGGTGCTTGGCTTAAAACCCAACCAAGTTTAAAAGAGGCTTAGGGTAAGTGAGGTAATAGCTGGACCTCAGGGAACAATAAGGAGAAGCCAAATTATGCACCTTTTAACATACCCTATTTAGGTAGTGGCACACAACACACAGCGGCTTCCATGGATAGAAATTTCTACTTCAGATATAAACCTAACATTCCTGAAATACTGAAATCTGGTCTCCTTCCTACAGCTAAAAACCATGTGTTTATTTCTTACTTTAATAGTGCAGTTATTATGCCAGGCGTGGTGGCACAAGTCTATCATCCCACTGACTCTGGAGGTTGAGACAGAAAGATTGCAAGTTCAAGGCCAGGATCACCAACTTAGCAGGCCGTAAACAACTTAGCAAAACCCTATCGCAAAATAGAAAATAAAAAAGGCTGAGAATGTGGCTCAGTGGTTAAGCATCTCTGGGTTCAATTCACAGTAAAATTAAATGAAATTTAATTTAAAAAGTGCAGTTACACTATTAAAATTCATGATGTAACAAAAATTCAAAATATTGAATTATCCAATTTGACACTAGCAACTAGAAGATATAAGAGTAGTATTCACTAAGAATTTTTAAAAACCTTTTATGGATTGAATTTATTTTAAAATCTTCATCATCAATAAATAGGTTTGAAAATACAAAAGGCTAGGGTTTTTTAAAATGCACAGAATAAGATATACTTAAAAGTGCATGAAAACAGTTTGAGGAAATCCTGAAATAGTAAAGAGGCCATACACTTAATCAAATAGTAACAAATGCAACATAGGTCATATTAAATGTATGAACTTCATCACTTGAAAACTATAGAGCAGAGGGACTAATTCTCACTAGGCACAGATTTGGAGCTCACTGAAGGATAGGGAGCCCCATTTACTCTTTCGGCTAGTGAAGCAAGGGTATTCTAGAGAAAAAGAAACAGTTTCATGCTCAACATACTTATAGATTAGTTTCCACCAAGGAAACCAAATCAATTCCACCACCCCACTCCTTTAAGTTCCTGAAGTCCTGCATACATAAATCTTTAAAACATCTACCACTTTGTTGACCTATGGAAGCCTGTGAGTATGGATTCTCTCACATCAAGGATAAAGCCTATTTGCCTTCGATTCTTCATTGCCTAGTAGAGAAAAGGCAGATATTCAATAAATGCTTGTTAAAAGAAGAAGGAAGACAGATTTAGGGCCTGCCCAAAGATGAAAGAGAAAGTGGGTCTTTGCAGAGCAAGCTGATTTTCCAGGGAAGGGCACTTCTGCTAGAAACAGAAGTAGAGGATGTGCATCGGGCAGGAGCTTGCTTTGCCTACTCTTGGAGAAGCCAGGCAAGAGAGTTATTAAGCAGAAGGTATGGAATCCTCAAAGCGCCATACATTTGAGGGAATAATAATCTGGAAGAATATATTTCCTTTTTTTTGAAGATAAACAGAAGCCTCAAAAAGTTTTAGGATGAACCATGCATCTTGAAAGACAATGGAATGTAAATCCAATAAGGGATCCCTTAAAACTACTGATTCATCAAGCCCAGTTACACTACTAAGTAGAATGAAATAAGGTGATCCACTAAGGTTAAAGTAAAATAAGGATTTATAATACTTAAAGAATAATATTGAAAAGCTAGAATTTTGGCTTAACTGGCAAACCAAAGGTTGTGGAAAAGAAATATATATATATGGCAATAACTTACATGACAGTATACATTGGAATCTTGTTGAATGATACTTTCTCTTAATTTCAGTTGAAAAAATGTAGAAGAATGGATTTTAATTGATACTTACCTATTAAATTGGGGGATTCATTTTCTAGAAATGAAGCAATAATCCTATCATGACTTCTGATATCCTTCTATTACTAGTACTTACATTCATCTCATCCAAATATAAATTTAATGTACCCAGTTGCAGATACTTTTGTTTGTTTTTTTTTAGATATATCTATCTTGTATTTCTTTCTTTATTTATTTATATATGACAGCGGAATGTATTACAAATCTTATTACATATATAGAGTACAATTTTTCATATCTCTGGTTGTATACATAGTATATTGACACCAATTTGTGTCTTCATACCTATACTTTGGATAATAATGATTATCATATTCCACCATCATTAACTATCCCATACCCCCTTCCTTCCCCTCCAACTCCTATGCTCTATCTAGAGTTTGTCTATTCCTTCCATGCTCCCACTCCCTATCCCACTATAAATCAGCCTCCTTATATCAACAAAAACATTCGGCATTTGTTTTTTTGGGATTGGTTAACTTCACTTAGCATTATGTACTCTAACTCCATCCATTTACCTGCAAATGCCATGATTTTATTCTCTTTTATTGATGAGTAATATTCCATTGTGTATATATGCCACATTTTTTTATCCATTCATCTATTGAAGGGCATCTAGGTTGGTTCCACAGTTTAGCTATTGTAAATTATGCATCTATAAATATTGATGTGGCTGTGTCCCTGCAGTATGCTGTTTTTAAGTCCTTTGGGTATAGACCGAGGAGAGGAATAGCTGGGTCAAATGGTGGTTCCATTCCCAATTTTCCAAGAAATCTCCATACTGCTTTCCATATTGGCCGCACCAATTTGTAGTCTCCTCAGCAGTGTATGAGTTTTCCCCCACATCCTCACCAACACTTGTTGTTTTAATGTGTAATAGCTGCCATTCTGACTGGAGTGAGATGAAATCTTAGAATGGTTTTGATTTGCATTTCTCTAATCAACAAATACATGAAAAAATGTTCATCATCAGATATTTTAAACTACAATTAGAGACTGGATATTCAAGATCTGGAATCAAAAAAAAATAGCAAGAAAAAAAGTTTTAAGAGATGTTTCATTCACTTCTACCATATGTATAAAATTAACTACTTTGTCTAGTCCTCAAGTAGCTAATAAGTAAAAGTAACTGTTTTGGACTAAATGATACTTATCTGTAATTGGATTTTTTAAAAGCCACTTGTATCACAAATTCCTAACATGATGACCATCTACTGGGAAATTCATGCTAAGAGAACAGCAGCAGGCAGTAGAAAGGATTCATCATCCTTCTCTTCTTGATTTAAACCCCAGCCCTGCTTTGGTCTTGAACATTCATTGCTCAAGTTAGCTCTTTGTTCTTGCAAGTTACTCAATTCTTCTGAGCCCTGGTTTGAAGACTATGGTGTTTAGAATAGGTATCTGGCAGGATTTTATGAAGCTTGACTCCACACTACACTTAAAATTACCAAAACACCAATACTAATTCTCCTCCACTCCCTTCACTATCTTTTGGGCATGTTTTATTATAAATTGGATATACCCAAGCATCAATATTTTAATATATCATAATGAGATGAGGACCTGTGGATAGTAATTCTATAAATTATGCTCATATTTACTTAAAAGTAATTTCTACTTTCTTCAATGGGAAAGTATTTTTGTAACACAAAACTATTGTAATCTGGCTCTTCCATTTGGAGCATTGTATGGTAAAGAGAAAGCAGAAACTTGTGAAAAACACCACCTCCAGTTGATAGTATGGATAACCAAATGCCAAATTTTGAAGCATTTTCTTCAATTTTAATTAAGAGTAGTGAGAGTGCTTAGGACCTGATCATGGTGTTACCACCATGGTCACCACAACTCATCTTAGTGTGGTGTTGGAGACTCTGGCTCCAATAAGCATCAGCCAGTTCTCAGCTTACGCAATGGAAGAGGGATCAAATGCAATGCACAGATTCTAACTAAGCAAAACAAACAAAAAACCCAACCTGGTTTCTAGAGTACGAGCATATTTAACGCACACATTTCCCTCTCACTAGAAATCCTACTGAACTCCAATAAAGGAATTTTAAAAGGATATAAACCAATAAAAATGAACAGGAATGGTAAAGAGAAAATAGAAACAGATGAAGCAGAAGAAAAATTGGTGACTGACCCAGAGTCCTACAGAGTCCAGTCCTAAACCACAGGTGGAGATGGAGGAGAATAATCACAATTTACACTTCAAAACCCTCAAAAGCCTTACAAACTGGCAGCACCAGGTACATCAGGAGCTAAAGTTAAACAGGACATCTAAAATAGGAGCACAGGATGGGGCAAGACTCCATCCCCACCACCCATCCAGATGACAGAGATATTAGGTTACCAAATAATTGGAGCACTGTGATTCCAGATACAGATGTGCAGAAAGCAGTCACCATTAAGATTCTCATAGTCTTTAAATGACTATTTTCCAAAAAAAGTCAGAATGCCTAGGAAAACCTGAACCAGTTTTGTGTGTGTGTGTGTGTGTGTAAATACATGAAATGCTCTTCCTTAACCTTATCAAGAGCAAGAGGTAGATCACAGAAAAACAGACATATTCAATGACATTTCCTCTAACAATAGTTCCACTTG